CCAGCCCTTGTTCCCAACGGCTCGACCACTTGCTCACCTCTTGGTCGTCACTCGCTAGAGGCTCACGCTACAGGCTCGCTTCCGCACCCCTCCTCAGAACTGTCCGCACCCCCTTGTCAGAACGACCCAACCACTCGCTCACCTCCTGGTTGTCACTCGCTACAGACTCGCTTCCCTACCCACTCATCAAAGTCCGAGAATCTGGCCCATCGTTCTACATCTCCCTTAGAGCAACTCCAGCAGGGTCCCCACTTGAGCTCCCATAGTTAAATATGAGTGCCCAGACAAAAAACACAGATCCAGCAGGGTTCCTACTCGAGCACCCAAATCCTCCCTCCGTAACCCATTCCTGGGGCTCTAGGCCAAGCCCCAAAGGATGATTTCCGTTCGTTTCTTCCCCGCGTTCGCCTTCTCCCCACTTGCGTCGTCGTTTGCCCCCCACGCAACTCCCCCTGCCCATGCACGACTTCCCGACGATGACCGTGACTACCCCAGGGCGCACGCACGAAGCAGGAGGTCTGGGGCAGGGCTTCACCGACGCGGCTCGTGCCGCCACACTTCAGGGCAGGGCTTCACCCACGCGGCTCACGCCGCCCACGCACGGCGGGCTCCCGGCGGCGCACCTCGCTACGGCCACGATTCACATGCCCCTCCTCAGAATTCAAGTCTGGCCTGTGTAGGTTGTGCACATGAAGGATAAATTAGAGGAAATAGAATAGTGAGGAGGTTGTGCACACGAAAGTTAAATTGGAGGAAACAAAATAGTGAGGAGGTTGTGCACACAAAGGATAAATTGGAGGAAGTAGAATAGTGAGGAGATTGTGCACATGAAAGACAAATTGAAGGAAATAGAATAGAACAAAAAACAAAAAAAAATATCGAGAGGAATCAAACTCACAACCTATAGGTTATAAGATAAGAAACTCATCCTTTTCCACTACACCATGTAGCTGGTTTATGTCAAGTATGAAATTTTTTACTCTATTAACCATACTATATTAGTGGTTCGATCGGGTGGACTAAGCAAACCGTTAATCGAGGGCTTTGTCGGTCTGTTCCTAACGACTATGTGCACCCATTGGCCTCCTCTCCCGCAATCTTTGTACCCAATCTCTGAAAAAATCAGCGCCTTACCTATCTCCTTCTGGCACTATTCGATCAAAAATAGGAACGGGCAAGTCCCCTGACCCTAGCCTTAACAGGTGTGGGGGGCCCTGGCTCTGTTGCAGCCACCAAATGGGATTCACGTCCAGTTTACCTCGGTCGCACCTTCGATACGCCTCCACCTCTCCTCCCAAGCCATCTGCACTGTCGTTGTCCCCGTGATCCCGTATACCTTGTGACGTACTCGAGGCCACCTTCACCGAGTGTGGATGGCGAGTCAGACAAAAGTTTGAAACTGATAATGACTCCGTTGTAACGTACAGGCACTTTTGCTGGTACTATAATCAAGTAATCAACATGCAACTGGAAGATGAACAGTAGGGAGGGGTTTCTGGGCTGCTTGATCCTGATGTGCGCTAAAACTGATCCAAGATGATTCTCTTATCGTGAAGATAGGGTTGAGTAAAATCAGTAGTATCAGCCTATCATCCAGACAAAGTGATCTGTTTGGTTCACGGCACCGATTGTATTAACCTCTCCTTTGTGAAGGGAGCAACTACTAGCAAAGTAAGGCAGAAATATAAATAGCTCGATCACTGCGCAGATACTATGCCAGAAAAAAAAGTTGCAAGTCATCCTTTCACACTTTAAGAACAAATTTCTCTTATTTTTTATTTGAACTAACGGACATAAGACAATGACAATGCCTATTTCATTGATAAAGAATGATAAAGAAAAGGTTTACAGGCTGGCGAACCGGGAAAGCAACACACTTTCTGGGACTTCTCGGGCACAACAAATTCAGGAAACATGAAAACAGAGAACCACGCAATCTTTCACGCAATTTGAGAATCATACAAATAACCCGAAAAGCTAAAAACCATACAGTCTCACATACAACACTGCTCGAATCGCTGCAGAAGTAAAAGTAACAGACGGAGCTTGCCGACATTATTATATGATACACTACTGCATCTTTACCAACAGACATTGACTTGGGAAAACCACGCCAATCTACATATATGATACACTACTGCATCTTTACCAACAGACATTGACTGGGACACAATCTATCAGACGGAGCTTGCCGACATTATTATGTTATCAAAATACAACTAAACATCTACTGAAGTTACATATATATCAATATACAGCTGAGCTGATAGCAGGTAGGCTCACCATAAAAGTTTGCAACAGCTTGCTACACTTTGAAACTATTCTATATTGCCAGCAAATACTAGGATTTGTTTGTTGCCTACAACTTTTTACAAGTTGATGCACTACAAATCGAAAACCATGGGAGTTACATTTTAGGGCTTGTTTGGATGCACATGTATCCCCCTCAATCCATGTGATACATGTGCATTTAAACAAGCCCTTAGGTGGAGTTACTCCATCCAAACAAGCCCTTAGTGGAGTTACTCCATCCAAACAAGCCCTTCAGTTCATGGATTGAGGGGGATACATGTTCATTTAAACAAGCCCTTAGGTGGAGTTACTTTTCTGCTGTTTTGCATAATGCTACTCTGAACTATGTGTGGTCCTCCCTGTCCATGTTCTGATTTCTGGACCAAACCTCTAGAAGAAAATGAACTAGCAATGACTGATTCCCAGATAACAGTTCAGAAGGAATGACCGATTCCCAGATACCAGTTCAGAAGAAAATTTCTGAAGGAGCTTTGGAACATGTTACAAAAAAACCTATCAATACAACTAAATCCAAATGAACCACTCCCCAATGTGCAAGAATGAGTTTCAGAGTAAAATCAAAGCTGAAATATAAGCAGCTGCATCCAACGTGCCAATACCATGTCAGAGCAAAATATTGCATGTGATTCTCAAGGAAAAACTAGCAAAACTAGCTTTCAAGGGGTTCCAATTTTAAAATCCAGAACTCTGACACAAGTTCTAACATGAAATATTTCACTCTATATATAATAATAACTGTGAAATACACAATCTCAAAGAAAAATACACAATCTTGTATATGAAAACAAGGGAACATACACAATCTCACATATGAAAAGAATATCTGACACAACTTCAGTTTTGTCTTACAAAAAACAAAAGTTGGCAATGACTTGTGCCCAATATATGAATCATGACCCGCTGATCCAGTTTTAAGAGCCTAGACGACAACAATCTCAACACTTTTTTTTCAATAAAGGGCGTACCCAGTGCAGAGAGCTCCCGCTCTGTGCGGGGTCTGGGGAAGGGTGTTAGTGGCAAGCCTTACCCTCGCCTGTGCAATGCGAGGAGACCGCGACTCGAACCCGGGACCTTCCGGTCACAGGCGGTAAGACTCTACCGCTTGCACCAGGCCCGCCCTTCATAGGCATTGACTATGTCATAGACAGTCGGCTAGGCCCAGTAGTATGAGAGGCCCATTAGGGAGCTTTATATTCTACAAAGGAACCTGACTAATTCCATACACATTGACTATTTCATGAGCAGTCGGCTAGGCCCGATAGTATGAGAGGCCCATTAGGGTTATGGTTAGAGATAAGATTAATCATCTTGCTTAGGAGTCAAGTAAACCTCTCTATCTAGATGAGATGTATCAATAAAATGAGGCAAAAAAAAATGGATTTATTATCCCAGTCCCTTCTCCTATCCCTGCCCTTGTGGTGGCTGCCGCCTATCGGCTGGCTGATGTCGGTCTGCTTAGGTTAGGGGCATCCAGATAAAAGACATGGAATGAAATGGAAATAGAAGTGACTCTACCATAGAAATGCTTTTCAACAGTTTTGTATTAATATAAAAAACATCAAAGCAGGTACCGTAGGTGTGTAAGCTCACTGTATGCCCTACAACTTATGATCAGTGGCAATAATCCATATTTAAAGGCATGGTAATTTATTTTAATTTCAACTTAGCATCCACCCAATTCTGATTTGTGGATAAAACTTCAGGATTCAGGAAGCAAATGAAACTGGGGTTGACTGATTCCAAGCCATTGGCTCGGAACAAAAAATTGTGGATGGAGCTTGTTGCCAAAAGCCTATCAATACGAAGCAACAACAGCAATGGTTAAAGAACACTATGATACAGCCTAACAGAAGCTAGGACAGACTTCCAATGCTAAATATTGGCACTGTAAGTGTTTTAAATTAATAAGCTCAAAAAGAACAGTGCAAGAAGTTTTGTTCTCCCGAGCTCAGTTCATACCCTGCATGGTGGCATCTATTATCAGTGACTGTGATACTACTTGGGAACAATGGTGATGCTTATGGTAATTAGAACTAGGCATGCTCTCCCAATTTTGAGTTCTGAACCAAATTTCTAGAGACACTGTAACTATGACCATTCTGATTTGATGAATGATGGAATAAAGTTTCTATGAAGCAGATTTAAAACTACTTCCCTGCAATACCAGATTTGCATACTGATACAATGTTTTCAAAAAAAATAAGTGACTATGCTAATGTGATATTTCCACTTCAACACCAAATAATCAAAGCATCTATACATTGTCTTCACTAGACGGTTAAATTGTTGACAAATGGGAACTTTCAATACAATTTGTTAACTAACCCCAAACTCTATAAAGAAAAAACTCACAGCCTACACAATTCCAGAAACAGATATAAGCATTTATAATGACCTATAACAAGTCAATCGAGTAACAAGACAGAATGATAACAAACGAAACTTCAATAGATCATACTAATGGAGCCAAAATACCAACAAAGATGCGGAAGAACACATGCACAGTGATCCACGAACCATAGGGCACAAAGGCGCACAAAGGTACTTATATTGATCCCTAAACATCTGAACATTGCTCAAACGAGTCTCAATCGATACGCTAATTAAGAGACCCCATCACGATATCGACATAACACGAACCGCGAACCACGAACAACCTCCGTTACCGAACCGGGCGGTTAGTTCCTTCAGGCGAGGTCGTCGTCGTCGAAGTCGGCGCCGTCGAAGCTGTTGAAGAACCCGGAGAAGAGGAGGGGCCCGCGGGCCTCGCCACCGCCGCCGCGGCCCGCGCGGTGCGGGGCGAGGAACATCTCCCCCTCCCCGTCCTCCTCGTCAAGGAACCCGGCCCCCGCGGCGCTGAGCGGCGAGTCGTCGATGTCCATGAGCGTCGAGATGGCGTCGTCCTCCATGGGCTGGTGCGGACGGTAGACGAAGGAGGCGGCGGCGGGGGAGTGGCTAGGGTTTTGGCGGTGGTGCGGGGGTGGGTGGTGGCGAGGGTCGGGCTGGTGTAGGGGCGGCAGCGGGGGTGGCCCGCGTGCGCTGCGGGACCTCTGGTGATGGCGACGCGACTCCATGCCTCTGCTTTTTGCGGTTGATATTTGGCCACTTGGTGTTTGAGATTGGTTTTTTTAATCCACGCCATTATACGCCCGGTTGGCTTGGTCTTACCGGTAGTATTTTTTCCCGTGGACGAATAGTATTTTTTTTTTCTCACGATAAATTAGTCAATAGTATTTTTAGTCATGATTTATCAGTCAAATGAACAGGGCAATAATTCTTCAACTTTGGAGATCTGCCATTACAATTCACCTATTCTGAAACTTGCCATTACAATTGTTCTTCTGCCTGATACTTGCCATTTTCTACGTCTTTCGGGTGTCTGGGCCCACTGTTAGGCCGTATACGTGTACACATCTTTCGTATGGACCAAAACACCACCTGCTGCTTCTCTCCCTCCACTCGCTGACGTGTGGGTAGATTCTCCTTCAATCTCTAGCCATCCTAGAAGGACGACGTCCGACGAGATGGGAGGGGCGGGCGGACACTGCGAGCCCGACCTCCCGCGTGGGAGTTCTGTCCAGGTCATGGCCGCACGCGAGCTACGGGCAGGCCTCTCCCCGACGCCGGCAGCCATGGGCCTCGGCTCCTGCTCGCTAACCCGCCGCCATTGCCGCCGCCGCCCGCTTGCCGCTTGCTTGCTTGCGCGAAGCGTTCCCACTAACTCCTAGCGTCGTTGGCCGCCATTGGCCGCTGCTTGCCATGCTCGGCAGCGCTGGCGGCGCAAAGCCAGCCAGCCGCCGCCGCCACGCAGCCCCTTGCGCTGCGCCGCCCGCCGCCGCCGCCGCGCAGATCCGGCCCATCCCTCGCGCCCTCCGCTCACGCCAGCCCTCGATAAGCCCAACTCACCCGCCGCCCTGCCACCTCCCCCGCGTGCCACGCCAGGAACACGGCGAATGCGGACAACAGCACCACCATGTCGAGCAGCATGAGCCCTAGTAACAGCTTGAGCAGCATCCCTACACCAACATGGTCGCGTGCAGGCGAGCGACCACCGCCGCCACACGGGCGCGCGGCCGTGCAGCCGCCGCCGCCGCCCCTCCGGCCCTCCCTCTCGTTGGATGGTGGAGGAAGAGGAGACTCAAGGAGGAAGACTGCTGTAGGTTGAAGGAGAATCTGACGTGTGGGGCCCACACATCAGTGAGTGGAGGGAGAGAAGCAACATGGGGTGCTTTGGTCCATACGGAAGATGTGTACACGTATACGGCTTGACAATGGGCCCAGACATCCGAAAGACGTAGAAAATGGCAAGTATCAGGTAGAAGAATAATTGTAATGGCAAGTTTCAGAATAGGTGAATTGTAATGACATATCTCCAAAGTTGAAGAATTATAATGATGTGGATTAAAAAAAACTTTGAGATTTGTCCTGCCCGGCCGCACCATTGGAGGGTTTTTATACTGGTCATATACGGAGGAGAGTCTCCTTTCGTTCCACTTTCACGGCAGTTTTTCGTGTTTAGCAAATTTATGCGGCGTTCCCATGGGAGAAAAAATCTGTCAAATTATCAATGGAAAACAATAACAAAAATAATACATATCTATTATGTTTTACATTTTTTTTATAAAAGTTCAAATTTATAATTTATTTTATAATGACCGACATCTATAATGTAAATGTAAGTTAATGTTGGCAATAATATTTCTATTAAGCCTCTGTCAATTTAAAATACCACCTTTACAACTTTTTCTCTCGTTGCAAATGACAAAAGTATTTAAACTTAAATATAGAACAACTTTAATTTATATACTATCCAGTGTTGCTATAGTTAAATATTGAGCTTCATAGTTTTCTTTGAGAACCCATAAAATATGTAACTCTATCTAATTAAAGTCAACAAAAAGTTTGTTGTTGACGTGTCAAGGATTGGTTTGTTCGCCGACGATTATGATGAGAGACCTCTCTCATTTTTTTTGGAGAAGTTAGCTTGCGACCTGTCACGCACTTAAGGGAGTGTGCGACCATCGTCTTCCTCTGTCTTCTCCCATTACTCTCTTCCTCGGCAAGACAGCGACTCCCTCTGCCAGCGCCCCTGCTCCTCTCCATCGCGATGCCCCTCCTCTCCTCTCTCTGCTGCGCTCGGAGTGGTAGGACGCCGCCACATGAGCCGATAATGTTGTTGGCCACGCGCTGCCGCTACCAGCTGTCGCGGGGTTAGAACCGCGGCAGACATTGTTGTTTGAGTTGGTGTCAAAGTACGTGTCTCTGTGGACTCAATAACACAAAAATCATAGAGAGGACGCAATGATTTATCCTATTTTGGGCCGATCGGTGCCTACGTCCAGCAGCTTGATGATCCTTATACTCAAGAGCACCTAAAATCGGAGGTTACAACAGAGTGTACAGGAGGAAAAGAGAGAGATTTGATAGGGGGTTAGCTCGGTGCTAATCCTGAGGTTGCCTCGTCACCGGTGGAGCCTTTCCCTCATCGGAGAATTTTGCATCGCGTGGGTTTGGACGGCTTAGCACTTTGGTTTGGATCTTTTCTTTATTTGAGGTTATTTGAATGTTTTTTAAAATGAATTTTAAAATATGAGAACTTAAAACAAAATTTTTAGGTGGTAAATGATTTAAAATGAAAAGGTAGTCAACTATAAAGTTCCAGGTCTCTTGAAGTCCTGTAACTTTGTTATGAAGTGTATATGTATTGACTTGATTTGGAAAAAAAATCTATAAATTTTACTATGCTGCACTTATTTTTTAGAGGTGGGCTAAATTGCCAACCAAAAATGCTTCTAGAGGCAGCCAGAAAGCCTAGTCATCTCTATTAGGCCCCGTTTGGCATGGCTTCTCAAACGGGGTAAAATGAAACGGCTCCACCGATAAAGCTCCTAAAAACGTGCTCTCACAGAGCTTTTGGGTGGAAAGGAGCCAAAAATAGTGGCTTCTCCCGGCTTCACCTCATCCTATATAGGCGTTCTGTGAGAGCATATTTTAAAAAAATCTATATGTGGAGCTGTTTTGCCAAACAATTTATCAAAACGGCTTTATCTCCACCGATAGAGTTGTTCATGGAGATGAAGCCCTAAAAACGGCTTTCTTGGTGAAGTGGAGCCATGCCAAACGGGGGCTTAATGTCATTTTAGAGACAATTCAGTTTTTTTTTGTTGCCTTTAAAAAATAGGGGGTATTTCTAGAGGTAGACCAACTTAGAAAATATTTTTAGAAGTGGTTCTTGATAGAGCCTTCTCTGCCCAAAAGTGGAGGCATTTCTAAAATTTGTTTCTTCAAGTAGTGGACGAGCATGAGAACTTGTTTACTTTTAATTTATCTATGTATACGTTCTTTGGGTTCATAAGTTAGAATCTTTGGAAAGCATGTTTGATAGATTAAGTAAAGTTGCTTTTCCACATGCATCTTGGAAGCACATCATAATTTTTGACTTCTCTGTCCTTTACCCCTTTTAAATTGATAGGTCTGTTTACATATAACTCTCAAAATCGTCTAATATATGGATCATGTTTTTTACGCTACAGACGTTGAAAGATTTTTCTCTTCCCCCGTTGAAGTGTTAGAGATAGCGCTCTTGAGGTTGTACTGGTGATGGACTGGAGGCCTGGGCTTGAACACGCGACGACGAACGGGCGGCGCCGTGCTCGGCGCCTAGGGTTGCGGCTAACGACAACAAGATGACGGTGAATAGGAAGTAAGGGCCAGGTGCCCAAGGGAGACGTAAGTCTCAATCCTAGGCTGAATCGTATTAGAAGCAAATTGTTTAACTTATACAAGACTCAATAACCAACTTCTTAATCTTTAGGGAATAAATCAACTGACTAACTGACTCTAGATATGCTAACAACTTAGCCCAGCCGGCTCCTTGGCGTGGCCTTAGCCACTTGCCTTGTCGCTTGGCTTATCCCGCCGATGGTACACCTTGCCCACCATAACATCTCTCCCCTCCCCGACAAACAACTCATCCTCGAGCTAGAAGTCAGGAAAGCGAGTCTTGAAATCATCGACCGGTTCCCAGGTGGCTTCAGACTCATCCAAGCCGGTCCATTTGATGAGGACCATCCAAGTGCCGCGACGCAACTGTGCCTTGAGAGCGCGCTCAGGTTTCAGCAGCAGACGACCGTGATGAAGTGGAGGCAGTGCCGGCAGGATCATTGGTGGCATTCCATACCACGGCTTGAGGACGCTGACATGGAAAACATCATGGATCCTGGCACCATCAGGTAGCTGAAGACGATAGGCCACGACACCAATCCGCTCCAGGACTTGGTATGGTCCAGCGAAACGTGGGCTCGGCTTGGAACGCTTGCCCGGCACCAGGGACTGTGCAGGGCGATGGAGCAGTCGGAGTAGCACCCAATCGCCCACGGCAAACTCCACGGCGCGATGATGACCATCATAGTGACGCTTAGCATACGCCTGAGCCTATAGGAGGCGTTCACGCACATCCTGCAAAAACGAGTCCCGATCCCGAAGAAGAGTGTCCACTGTCTCCGTCGAGGCCGAGCCTTCTGTGTATGGCAGTAGAGCAGGTGGAGGCCGGCCGAAAACCACTTCAAAAGGCATTGTCTTGAGCGCCGAATGATAGGATGTATTGTAACAATACTCTGCCCAAGGAAGCCACTCCAACCACGCACGAGGGCGATCTCCTGTAATGCAACGTAAATACATAGCTATGGTCTTGTTGACAATCTCCGATTGGCCGTCGGTTTGTGGATGAAATGCCGTGTTTGCTCGAAGTTGCACTTTGCCGCGCGCTTGAAGAGGTCTTTCCACACATTGCCCATGAAGACCGGGTCCCGATCACTCACGATCGAGCGAGGGAACCCATGTAGCCGAACGATGGCCTTGAAGAACGCCTTGGCAACCGATGTTGCAGTGTACGGGTGGCTGAACGCAATGAAGTGTGCATGCTTTGAGAAATGGTCCACCACTGTGAGAACCACGCTCTTTCCATGGACGCGAGGCAGCCCCTCCACGAAATCCATAGCAATGTCTGGACCAAACCGAAGAGGGTACCTCTAATGGTTGCAGCAGTTCCGCGGGGGTGGAGGGACTCAGTTTTGTTGCGCTGGCACACAGCACAGGCACGCACAAAGTCCTCCACCAGCCGGCGATCATGGTCGACGAGGAAGTGTTGACGGAGGCGCTGCAGGGTCTTTTGTATGCCTTCGTGCCCAACCGAGTGGGAGAGCTCGATCACCGTAGGTACCAATGGGGACGTCACGGGCACAAAGACTTGGGTGCCTTGGAGCACCAAGCCATCCACCAGTCGCCACGGATCGCCGCGGTCAGCGACCACCGTGTCGCGGAACGCCCGGAGGTTGGGGTTGTCCTGGAGCTCTTGCCGGAGCACGTCGTAGAGCTGAAATGACGGACCACTGAGCGCGCCTAGAACTGCGTCGGGTGCGTCACGGGCGGCCACTTCGTCACCGCGATGGGATAGCGCGTTGGCGACAGTGTTGAGGCGCCTCGGCCTGTACTCCACGCTAAAATCAAAACCGAAAAGCTTGCTTACCCACTGATGTTGCAGCATCGTGGACAGCCGTTGATCGAGCAAAAACTTGAGGGCGAAGTGGTCGGTGCGGACGGTGAAGTGGTGCCCCCACATATATGGGCGCTAGCGATGCACGGCTTGGACCAAGCCGATGAGTTCCCGCTCATAAGCTGCAAGCTTCATGTGCCGCGTGGCGAAGGGCCGGCTGAAAAACGCGAGCGCGCCATCTCCCTGATGTAGGACCGCGCCAAACCCGGAGCCTGAGGCATCGCAATCCACCAAGAACGGCTGATCAAATGCCGGTAACTGCAGAACGGGTGCCGTCGATAGTGCCTGCTTGAGGGCGACGAAAGCAGCAGTAGCCTCCTCAGTCCATGTGAACCCATTGTTCTTCAGCAGCTTGGTGAGAGGAGCAGCCACGACGGCGTACCCTTGGATGAAGCGGCGGTAGTAACCTGCTAACTCCAGGAACCCACGTAGGCCACGAGGTGCGCGAGGCTGTGGCCAGGATGTGACGGCCGCCACCTTGTCTTGATCCATGGTGACTCCGACTGCTAAGATGACATGGCCGAGATAGGCCACCGTCGGTTGAGCGAAGGAGCACTTAGAAAGCTTAAGCTGGAGTTGATTAGCCCGAAGCACCGAGAGGACTACATTAAGATGCTGCAGGTGCGAGGACCAATTAGGGCTGTATATAAGTATATCATCAAAGAACACGAGTACAAACTTGCGGAGGAACGGCCGAAGGACTGAGTTCATCAAGCTCTGAAAGGTGGCCGGTGCGTTTGTCAAGCCGAAAGGCATAACCAGAAACTCGAAGTGGCCCTCATGAGTGCGGAACGTGGTCTTCTCAATGTCATCGACGTGCATATGCACTTGGTGATACCCCGAGCGGAGATCGAGCTTCGTGAAGTAGCGAGCGCCCTTGAGTTCATCGAGCAACTCCTCGACCATAGGGATGGGAAATTTATCCTTGACTGTCTATTGGTTGAGTGCGCGGTAATCAACACAGAACCACCACGACCCATCATGCTTCTTCACCAAGAGCACCGGAGCCGAGAACGCCGATGTGCTGGCCCGGATGACGCCCTGTTGCAACATGGCTGCACATTGAGCCTCCAATTCGTCCTTCTACAGCTACAGGTACCTATAGGGGCGCACTGCTACCGGAGCCGTGTTAGGCAGCAAATGTATTCGGTGATCACACGGCCGCACCGGTGGCAGTCCTTGTGGTGCAGCAAAGACATCATCGTAGGAGGCCAACAAGGTGTCCAGAAGCGGCTTGGCAGTGTCCATAGCGTAGAGATGAGTGGACTAGACGTCATACCTTGGCGAACCAATGCCCCGCTAGAAAACACGGTGCCCTCCATGGGTGAATGCCATGCACAAGTCATCAAAATCTCATAAGATCGGTCCCAATGTCCGCAAGAAGGTGATTCCAGAGGACCATGTCCCATCTGTCGAGTGGAATCATGTAGCAATCCATGGTGAATGCCTCGTCCGCGATGTGAATGCCCACGTCACGGGCCAGACCACGACAGTCCAAGCGGTCACCATTCACGACTATGACGCCCGCCCGGGCACGGCTGGAAGCGGATACCGGCCCGGCGCGCCATCACGCTACTGATGAAATTATGGGTGGATCTTGAGTCCACCAACGCAATGCACTGCTCACCACCGACTTGCACGTAGACCTGCATCGTGGTGGCAGTTGGAATGCCTGTGATAGCCACCAAGGAGATGGTGGGCTGTGCTGGTGCAGCTGGCGTTAGGTTCCTCGTCCTCAGAATCCGAATCAGGCTCCTCCACAATGTAGTCAGCGGCCTCCAGGTAGAATAGGCGAGCACACTTGTGCCCTTGGACGTATGGTTCGTCACAATTATAACATAGGCCCTGCTTCCGGCGTTCTGCCATCTCCGTGGGCGTCAAGTAACGGAAGGGGCGGCTTGAAGACTAGCCGGTAGGCGTGGACGATGATGACGAGCTCCCAAGCTGTCCTGGTGAGGTGCGGCGCGAAGGACGCTGAGGCACGGCTGGTAGCGCAGGTGCCTTGGCGGCGTTCCGGCGCTCAAAGGCCCGGGCCAACCGCATCGCACGGTGAAGATCTGCAGGCTCATGGAGTTCCACGTCCACCCGGATGTGTTCTGGCAGTCCACCGGTGAAGAGCTGGGCCTGCTGGAGCGGATCTAATCGACCTGCGTGTGCCAGGCGGGCCTGGAACGCCGACATGTAGGCGTCCACCATGGACGTAAACGGTAGTCGGGCGAGGTCGGCCAGATGGTTGGTCGACAAAGCCGGACCAAAGCGCTGGTGGCACAGAAGCCTGAAGTTGGCCCACGATGGTCGTCCCGTGTCGCGCTCGAGGATGTAATACCACTGCTGAGCGTCCCCGGTCATGTGGAATGAGGCTAACCAAACTTTGTCGACCTCCCTGGTGAGCTGGCCACGGAAAAAGGATTCGCACCGGTTGAGCCAGCCCAGGGGGTCCTCTTTGCCATCATAGAGCGGGAACGAGAGCTTGTGGAACTTGGGAACGCCATAGCCTTCATTGTGATCGTCCAGGTGGGGCAGCGACTGGGATCGGTGGGCGCGTTCATGGTGCACCACCGTTGAAGATGTCGTGACTGCGGTCCCCATGATAGATGAAAATGTAGGCAGCGGGGAGGGCGAGTGCGGGAAGGGGATGCTCTGGATCGGCAGCCCGGTCGACAGAGGTTGCGGGGTGGAGCCGATGGATGAATGTGCGTCCGAGTCTGCGGCCGGCTGTGATGATGAAGAACCCGCTGCTGTCGCCGCCGATGCCGGAAGGGAGGGCGTGGGCATGATCTCCGAGATGACCGGCCCGGAGGCCGGTAGTGCCGGGATGCCCCCATACCCCGGCATGCCGTAGGGCAGGGCCTGTGGCGCAGAGTAGGGAAGACCCACGAACGATGCCGCGGCGCCTTCGACGGACGAGAGCCGGAGCGACATCTCCCCCATCCGGCGCTTCATGCTATTGATCAGCGTGGTGAGTTGGTGTTGCCCGTGCATGAGGATTGCCAGGGACTCCTCCATGGTCGGCTGCGAGGTAACAGGAATCTTGAACGATGACACTGATGCCTTCGTGGCCGCCGGGGTCAATGTGCCCGTGGACGGAACCGGCGGTGGCGGTGTAGCCGTGGACGACACCGCGATGGAAACGGAAGCACCCGAGATCGACATGGACGCTGATACCAGATTGTTAGATATAGCGCTCCTGAGGTTGTACTAGTGATGGACTGGAGGCCTGGGCTTGAACACGCGACGACGAACGGGCGGCGCCGTGCTCGGCGCCTAGGGTTGCGGCTAACGACAACAAGATGATGGTGAATAGGAAGTAAGGGCCAGGTGCCCAAGGGAGACGTAAGTCTCAATCCTAGGCTGAATCGTATTAGAAGCAAACTGTTTAACTTATACAAGACTCAATAACCAACTTCCTAATCTTTAGAGAATAAATCAACTGACTAACGGACTCTAGATATGCTAACAACTTAGCCCAGCCGGCTCCTTGGCGTGGCCTTAGCCACTTGCCTTGTCGCCTGGCTTATCCCGCCGATGGTACACCTTGCCCACCATAACATGAAGCGTACATACATCTTTGCTAGTTCTCTCTAAAGCAAAAGATCTTTCTGTTTTAAAATGGAAAATCTTTCATCTACTCCAAATTAGAATAGAAACTTTAATTTGGATTTTTTTTTGCATCGTTCCCTTTCAAGTGCATGAATTTCAGCATGCTCCATTTTCCATCTTTATGCCTATATTGTATCGAAGCACGACCTAAACTAATTATACAGGCTCTAAGGAAGAATGGTCTGCCCTTGCATTGGGTAATTGTTGTATACCATATGACCTTCTAGCCGCGTTCAAGTTGGCTGTTACCTGTCTCATATTCATTCGTTCGCTTGGGAGTAGACGCGTGCAAGAAAGAGCAACTCCAACGAGAGACATCAGGCATCGACGAACCTCATTTCCCCTTTCCACTCTTGCTAGCAACATGGACTCTTCTTGGAGATGAGCATCTATGATATGTGACATCTGTTTTGGAAAGTTCTTCTCCACAAAGCTGACAATGTTCATTTCACCCTCAAACATTGAATCAGTTGGCCTTTTTCCAATTAGCATTTCCAGAAGTATAATACCGAAACTGTAAACATCCCCACTAGTTGATGCATGAACACTTTGAGCATATTCTGTAAAACAGATCAAGTAAATGATTAATGCAATAAACTTTAGATACTCGTGTGCATAAAAAGGTTACCTCTCACAAGTACGGGACGTGGCAATAATCTTACCTGGAGGGATATATCCTATTGTTCCTTTAATTGTGACTGAGCCATTAGAACCAGAATGCCCAAGATTTATAGGCGTAGAATCACGAAGAAGTCTTGAAATGCCAAAGTCTCCCAGATGGGCATTCATGTCATCATCAAGAAGGATATTAGTTGGCTTCAAATCACAATGGATGATAGGCCTTCCACAGTCATTGTGTAAATAAGCCAAGGCATCAGCTATGCCAACAGCTATGCTTATTCTTTGAGCTAAGGTCAAACATTCTGGGGCCACACCAGCACATCTGTGATGCAACCACGTGTCCAAATTCCCATTAGGCATGAACTCATAAACTAAAGCTACGAAATCATTGCCTTTGTTGTCTATTGTCGTACATGCAGTTAGGATTGGAACAATGTTTCGATGTTTGATAGCTCTCAAAGCTTCACATTCTGATAAGAAACTTCTATCTGCACATTGTATGCCCAGATCAAATACCTTAATAGCTACCTGAATTTTAGCTTGAGTTAACTTCCCTCTGTATACCGAACCATAACTTCCTCTCCCAATTAGGTTTAACTCTGAGAAATTTCTCGTAGCTTCAGCTACATCCTTATAAGAAATTCTAGGGAATTTCTTACCAAAAGAAAGCATCGATGTGTAGCTGGTTCTTGATGTCTTCTTCTCAAAAAATATGACATAAATAAACATTATGAGTGACATGAATCCAACTATGGGGATAAATATGTTGAACCAAGTGCACTTGCTTTCTATTCTCTGAGAAAATGAAGGGCATGAGGGCATATGGAGATCAAAAGCTCCTCCACAAAGATCCATATTACCGTCAAGATAAACAGACGAAACATTTCTGAAAATTCCATCCATTGGTATTTCGCCTTGGAGATCATTGTAAGAAAGGTCCAGCATATTGAGTAATTGTAAATTACCTAGAGCTGTTGGAATGGTGCCAGACAAGTTGTTGTGGGCAAGATTTAGTTTGTTCAAGTTTTCTAGATTGCCAACAGATTCTGGAATGTTCCCTGCGATAAAGTTTCGCTCCATATTGATGGTCACTAAGTTTCGGCATAGGGCCAAATCATCAGGAATTTCCCCAGTAAGCTTGTTTGATGCAAGCTCGAGGTTGATAAGTTGTTTAAGGTTGCTAATCTCTAGTGGAATGCTCCCTTCTAGATTATTATGACTAAGGTTCAGCTTTAAAAGCAGTGGAGGCGTACCCAAGGATGATGGCATGGGACCTTCAAATCCATTGTTGTCTAGAAAGAGTTCTACCAACCACGTGAGATTGCCAGTGCTGGGTGGAATGGGTCCACTTAGGTTGTTTTTTCTAAGATTCAAATACTGCAGGTTTTTTAGGTCTCCAAGCCATCCATCAATGCTACCAGTGAGACTGCTTTCATCTAGTGACAATTGAACCAACCCAGAAAGTTTTCCTATATTTGGTGGGATTGTACCTGACAGCTTATTTCCACCTAAGATTAAGTACTGAAGACTAGACGATAAGTTACCAACTGAATTTGGTATAACCCCCTGCAGCTGATTGTTTGATAGTGCTAGCACTTTTAGAGCACTGCAGTTTTCTAGCGCATGCAAGAATTCCCAGCTTTCACTATCTTTTGCTTCAAGCATGTTCAACCCAAGGTCTAGTGTAGATAAACTTGAAAGCTTCCCAAAGGAACCAGGGATTTGTCCAGTGAAATTGTTAGATTGTAGAACTAGTTGTTGTAGCATTGAAGCATTACATAAGGAATCTGGTATGCGACCTTCCAGCCAATTCTCGCCCAAGTATAGTCTTTGTAGATTAAAGAGGCGATCACCCATATTGCTTGGTAGACTCCCGCTTAGCTGATTTGCATGCAAATCTAGTCCTTGAAGTAAGGACAAATTAAATAGGCTTGCAGGGATAGTACCTGAGAGGTTATTTCCCCCAAGGTCCAGCATCGAAATATTTGAAAATTGGCCAAGTTCACCTGGAATTGTTCCTTCAAGTTGATTTTCTTGAAGAAAAAACTCTTCTATATGGGTGATGTTACCAAGGGTTGGCGGGATGGTCCCAGTAAGATTATTGTTATTAAGGGCAAAAAAGACCAGTTTCTCAAGGAGACCTATTTCCCGAGGAATTGCACCATTGAGTAAGTTATGGTTGAGATGCAACTGCTTGAGGTTGGAACAATTTGTGAGCGTGTTTGGAATAACCCCATCCAATGAGTTGTAGCTCAGATTAAGGATTTGCATCTTCTGGAGATTGTTGAGATGTGGTATTTGGCCAGAGAAGTGATTGGTAGACAGGTCTAGTGTATGAAGGAATGTTAGGTTTCCAACAGATGGAGAAATCGAGCCTGACAGGCCTTGGCCGGTAAGGTTGAGTGCTGTGACTCGCCCGTGGTTCTTCGAGTTACATGTGACACCTCTCCACTTACAGCAGTGGATGCTAGTGTTCCACGAGCTCATCAAGGATCCAGAAGGGTCATTGGTGATGGCTGCCTTGAAATCAAGCAAGGCGAGCGAGTCCGTGCTATTCTCAGGGACCGTGGAACAACTGATATTGCCTACTCCATGAGATGTGACTAACAATATTGCTAGAAGCATAAGCATGGTGAGTTTCACGGTCTGGTCGTCAGGCAATAGTGCCCTCGTTACCTGCAAAATACGTAGAACCGTATACATAAATGATAAACATTGTGGCGTATTCTAGCCATATACCAAGTACTACAATATCATGAAAATGGAATTGCATTTAATTTAACCAATGTTGAAATTTCACTGCATGCAAACAGCAAATGAGAGATGGTCGACAAGATTGACAGCAGAGAGCACAAACATAAAGATTGCTCTAGCAGCGCTAGTACCGCACAGGAGGAAAGAGAAGAACGCACTTCTGTGCTTTGCTGAAGCCTACAGAGCAACGCTGCTTTCCTGCGATCCTGAAGAGCACAGACCGAACGGCTTTGGTTTTGGCTCCCATGGGTTTAAAAACCGATTACAGCCGCATTACATCCACACACTTGCATCATCCGATCATCGTCACACCACCTTATCTTATCTTGACCGCCGTTGCAACCAAGACCCGGAGTCCGTCAAACTCACCAGTTACCGCCACTTTTCAGCACCCATCTCGTCAGTCGTCACGTCACCCACCGCCGCCGTCGTTGTCTGAGCTGGACACAAGATTGTTGCGGAGCATGACAACGCAGTGCTTCGCCTGCTCGGAGGCCCCGACGCGGAGATCGTCGATAACGTTGAGGACTTTATTGAGTACGAGCTGCCGGTAAAAAAAACGAGGCAGCTGTAGCTACTGAATGGGCCTTGTTTTGCTGTAATGGGCTGAATCGTTCGAACAAGTAGTCCTGTATGGTGGCTAAGGGTCAGTTTGATGCCAAAATTTTTGGCAAAACGCTACTGTAGCGTTTTCGTTGTTATTTGTCAATTAGTGTATAATCATAGTCGAATTAGGCTTAAAAGATTCGTCTCGTGGATTTCGTTTAAACTGTGTAATTAGTTTTATTTTTTATTTATATTTAATGCTTCATGCATGCGTCTAAAGATTCGATGTGACGGAGAATCTTGAAAATTTTGGCATTTTGGGGTGCAACTAAACAGGGCCTAAACCACAATTTTGCTAATGGGCCGTACTCACCGGTTTCTTACTCATTTTCGTCCTGGGTAGAAAAGAAAAGAAAAGAAAAAAAACAATCTTCCTCGATGCAATCGTGGGCCATCTTGCTAAGTGGAGGCTATCGGTTTATATCACACATCAATGGACAATCCAAGCAGACCTGGTATGCTCTGCTCATGTTCTGCCGCGAGAAATTTCTACGAGTCCGGAAACAATCAAATCTTACTCATTCAAATTTCAAACAAAGACATGGCATTTTCGCCCCTTTTACTTACACACGCGCACGAGTTATGACTGCCTGTACAAGATATACTATAGTAGAAATTGCGATTGCCCGTTCCAAACAGGGACTAGTTTTTTTTTTTTTGAAAGCAACAGCGACTAGTGTTTACGAGATGCAATCGCTGAATGCGACAAAGCTTCGACGATTGGAATTTGGAAGTGACGTGCAAAAGTGGCCTCCATCGGATTAGTAGACCTTTTCACTCACCCTGTTCGCTTATACTGAAATTTGACTTATACTGATGCTTATGCTAAAATATTATAAGAGAAAAATACTATTTAATAGCTATAAAGTAGTTCTAAATAATGTCACACGAACGTGCCAAAGTCAGCTCCCTACCCGGCCCGGCCTTTATCGGAAAGCAGGCGAACGACAAGTCCTTTTCCGGGAGCGTGCGGGCATGGACCAAGCCACCACACTACGTACACCACTATCCTCGTCACCTCCGGTGTCTTTGTCCTGCTCTGATCAGTACCAACACAAACCTCTCGAGCGGTGCCCCCTATACAAATGTTACCCGTAGATGTGTTTACGTGCGACGTCAACTGTCGACATCTGGATCCCTGCTGAGAGTAGTTGCAATGCAATGAGATGGATTGGGTCACGACGAATAGAGCAGCGGCGCCTGCTGAGTGCTGACGACGACGTACGCCGTGGACCACGTACGCATGCATGCATCGTATGCGTTGAAGTGGGCAAAGCCACGGACGTACGTGCGTGCGCCGTGCGCGCGCCCTGTCCGGCTGTCCCCCTGTGCGTGCACGTTGGCACGTGAACATCCATCCATCCATCCACCCGGCACAAGCACATGCATGTCAGCGCTCAGGGGTCAGGGCATCCAAACCAAGACGACTGCACATGGGTATGCGAGCGACCGCGCAGCTGCTATGACTGAGCGCTAGATGCCACCAGCTCGCAGCAGAGAGATCCATCAGCACCAGCAGGGTTCTCATCTCAAGTCGCCACGGTTTATTAGCGGCAGCAGCGCCCTGCACCTGCGCGAGAGAGATGCACGGCACGGGATGGGCAGATGCCCCCGTGCGACGCGTAAAGGCGGGCGGGCGCGCGGACGCCGTTTTTTAGGGGATCCCATCCCACCAGGCTTTTCCGACGGAGAAAAAAAAAGTCAGCGACGACAGCGGGGCCTGGGGCGGTGGGGCCTTTTCGCCAGCGCCGCGCATGGCTTTCTGTGTGGTGGTGGGGTGCTGGTGCCGGTGCCGCGGACGCTGCTCGCCCTCGCCGCGCCGTCCCACCCATCCATCATCGCCTTCTTCCCTTTCCCCGTGCCGACGAACAGCGTCAAACCATCATCAGCCCGCACGCCTCCATCCATCCGGCAGGGGGGGGCGCGTCCGCGGCCAGCGGGGGGCGGAGGCGGCCTGCGCTGCAGGCACTGGCGGGGGCACCGTGTCCGTGTCCGTGTCCGCGGACTGCGGAGGAGGCAAGGGCACTCGATGGATCGCTCGAGTAGAAAGCAGCGTCTGCGTCTTCAATCCGTGCGTCGCAGACTCGTACTCGATCGCTACTCCTGCTGTTCCATACACTGCCATACAGAATCTGCGCGTAGCTTTTCGTGGGCTATGATTATTTCCCTGTATATGATCTTGTTGCAGTGGAGCGGCATCGATTGATTTGTGCGACTTGCCTTGGCCTCGAGCGACCATGGCATTATTGGCATGATGCGTGCTGTTGGAATAATGCTCAAAGCGTGCTCCTACCTGGATTCCAGTGAAGAATATATCTCGAAAAAGGGAAGGGATGAAGAAATGGCGCTACCGTAACATGAAACCACTACGTATATCTCTATTCCACCACAGAAATATATTGGATTCGGTGCCGCCCGGACTACAAAATGAAGGTGCGCGTGGAATGCGCAGCATTGGACAACTTGCTAATGAGATGAAAAAAACATGAAAACAAGAAGATCACCTATTGATTGATCCAATAAAAAAGATCACCTTGTTACACATTTGTTTACCATAGAAATATATTGCATTCGGTCGCGGCGGGACTACAAAATGCGCGTGGAATGCGGCAGCATTAGACAACTTGCTAATGAGATGAAATAAACATGAAAAGAAGAAAAAGAAGATCATCTGTTGATTGATCGAATAAAAAAGATTACCATGTTACGCATTCGTTTACCACACAAATATATTGGATTTGGGCACACCGGGACTACAAAATGAAGGTGCGTATAGAATGCGCAGCGTTAGTGTCGGGTTCATAAACCCGAGGTCTCCAATGAATCCGCTTCCCTGCAAAACCCGACCCAGCAGGCGGCGCAGCAACAACGCGCGCCTAGGCCGGCCCAGATAAATAATAACAGGTCGGGACAACGATCCGGTCCCCAACCGGAGGGCCTGGCCTAGGTGGGACCGCAATTCAGCTCCAACCTCCTTCTTAGGATATGCAGGACCTCTGCTCGCTGTTCTTTCCCGACCGACACGGTCGGGACCGACTGGGAATGACCGACCGGAGACGGCCGCTTGGTGAGGGCTCGGGGATCAGGCGGAGCAGATAAGGTAAGGCGCTCAAAGTCAACCGTAATACCGAGAACCGTACCCTGCCATGCCCTGCGCACCTGCAGGACGGTGCCACCAGGCCATGCCAGACGGGCACTATACAACCTTCCAGACGTGTCAGAGCACAAACAGTATTGTAGACGCCAACGTTTGCCGTACTAGGCGAACACGGTAGAGCCTGCCAGATACGTCTGAACATAAACAGTATTGTGGACACCAATGACCGTCTCGTACCCGACAGCGTGGGCAACAAGACTAGGTAGCACACGTACACACTCTCTCTCTTTCTTTGGCTTGTAAGGCCATCCCCTTTAACTATAAAAGGGGATGAGCTCTCTCCTAAAAAGCCCCCCACCGAAAAAGGATAGACGACTCGAGGACTCGAATAGCTTAATAACTCAATAGCTCTAGAACTTGACAGCTACACAGAGCATGCGCTCCAATACTCAGCGTACGTTAGAGCACCCGTCACTCTCTTCCATTCGGATCAGAGTCCGACCGGGCCTTTAACACTCCCCTTCTCATTCCTACTCGTTTGTAACCCCATAGCAAACTTCGAGCACCTAGGCTCAGGAATAAAATCACCGACCAACTAAAACTGGACATAGGGCACATTGATTGAACCAGTATAAATCATGTGTCATTGAGTGCTAGGCCACATCCGATCACAACGCACGATAAAACTACAAATATTTACTTGTTGGTCACTTTTCGCACCGATAGTTGGCGCCGTCCGTGGGGAAGACGTCGTGTGTTCACGCTTTTGGTCATCGGATGGCCCACCTTTCAACCATCTTTGGCCTGGCGGACTCGAGCGATACGATTCGCTTCGACTCGCTAGAGTTTCCCACGCTCCCACCTGTTGGGATGTGGGTTCCTCCCGTCTTCGAGCCGCTTCAGACTTTCCTTTTTGGAAGCCTGAACTTCATCGCCGACCAGCTCGGCATACTCCGCCTCCGCGAGGAGGCTCTCGTCCCGGCGTCCATTGGAGGAGGAGCGCCCTCCACCGACCCCAGGCCACTCGACGACCTCAACGTCGAGACACTCGCGCTTCGCCTCGAGCCCATGCTGGGCTCAAACCTCACGGTGAGTGATGTACATATTGTTCTTTACTCACTATTTAACACCTTTCGCCAACTCTCCGGAGGGACCCCGTTGTCCCCACCACGAC